ACCCTAGTTAAGCTAGCCAGTGTCAGTTACTGTATCATTAGCTACTGAGCGGGACCTAATGGCACCCTAGTTAAGCTAGCCAGTGTCAGTTACTGTATCATTAGCTAGCAGGACAGCCAAGTTGCACGTAAAACAGTGATATTTGTTGAGCTCTGTTTAAACATTGCATCTAAAATTTCCTACCACTGATTTTATGTTGCCCTTCTGTAGCTACTACCGTGACCTCGAGTTTATCTGCATGCACGAACACGGAAGGAATGAGAGTGGAAAATGAGCCGTGCTGAGTGTGGGGGCGGGGCTGTGAGTGGCATTACTTTCTGATTTGTTGACAGAGAATTTATAAATGGAAGGTTCTGGAACATCGTTCTGGATCGTACTATCCTGCTTTAACCCCTAGCTACATGTGCACCGTTCGCAGCCATCTGATACAAACGCCTGATGACGAAACTTACGTCATCTCACCCTGTGTGTGACTGAGAGTGCATACAGAAAAGTGAAGTATGAATTGGCTTCCACAGTCTCACACACACACACACACACACACGTAAATAGATACAAGCAGACGTGCACCCTTCAGTCACTGGTTTTCTGTCTTTCTGATTAGCTGGTGTTTGTCTTTCCCAGCATGCCAGTGCAATGGGCACAGCACATGCGTGAACAGCAGCGTGTGTGAGCAGTGCCGCAACCTGACCACAGGGCCCCAATGCCAGACCTGCATGCCTGGTTACTACGGCGACCCAACCAACGGCGGCAAGTGCCAAGGTTAGTGTGAGGGTCAGGGTGGCCCCTAAACAGGGATACGTGGGTGGCCCATGGCTGTATAACGGGCAATGGAGTCCAGTCGTGTCATCCAAGAAGGAGAAGGCGCAGGTCCCGGGCAGCTCACCCGACCACCCAGAAATCCCAGGAGAACTAGCTGGCTCACCTAGACCTCCTATCATCCAGAAATCCCAGGAGAACTAGCTGGCTCACCTAGACCTCCTATCATCCAGAAATCCCAGGAGAACTAG